CGCACATTTTCTGCATTTCTGTCATGGTCTCGGCAGGTCTCGGGTGGGAGACCCGAGACCTCGGCATCCGAGACCAAGACCGAGACCAACCCTCCCGAGACCGAGACTCTTGTAGGCCGAGACCAAGACAGAGACCTCAAAAAAAAGGTCTCGAGACGGTCTCGAGACCGAGACCAAGTCTTGAGACCTCCAACACTGGTCCGCACTGGACTTATAATGGGCAAAGTACCCATTGTCTCATTAAGTTTGCCCCGAAAAAGTCCAGTGTTTAAAGTCAGGGCTTTAAAGGTCTGAAGAATACTTGATGTAAATATCTAGTATTCCGAAGGGTTTCAGCTGCTAGGGTTTAGGGGTTCGAATGATACCCCTTCACTGTTAATAAATTTGGCTTTTCATGTCCTGTGGTTTTCAGAGATTGGATAGATGGACCACACTGTGAAGTCACTGATAGTTGAAACTTTCCTTTGACAGCAACATTTATCCAATGACACGTTTCACTGGGCCTCTATTCCAATAAGATATGTACACTTGTGAAGCATACAAAGCAGACTCCATGTACAAGGATGGTGGCTATTCATAACAGAGTGCACCACCAGGAGGCCACATTTCACATTTATGGTGCACACTCCCAATTCATCATGATCTTGAAGGTCTTCATGCAGAAACACGAAACTAACATACTGCAGACAATCTCTCACAAAACATCATTTAAATTCAGTAAAAAAAACTTTTAAAACTGCTGCAAATTTTGCTTTTCAAGCACTTGTCAAGTTCTTTATGGAAACTTATTAGTGGTTCACCTTTTATTTTCATGGGACAAAGCAACAATAAAAACAAAATAAGTTTAAGGGAGGTCATTTGCTTTAATATATGCTCCATAAGGACAAACATCCAGTCTGCAGTGACCTACCTGCCAGCTGACCTTGACCTCAGTGTTGCTAAGCACCAATGTATTTCTGATAGACACCCCAGCCTCTGCCAACTGAAGTGATACAGAATTCCTACCAGAATCTGTAATAATGCATTTGAAAAAGGCCGTCTTTAGAAGTAATATTGTAATGGCATGATTAATGGATACATCATAATGATCGCCACAAGAGTTCAATTGGATCCACCACTGTCATGAGTATCCACTCATGACAGTGGTGGATCACTGATACAACAGACCCAAACAAGGAGGTGTAAAGTCAATGCTGCTTCTGTAAACATGTTTCAAAGGTAACAGACACAGAACTAGGAGTTCTCATACTTCATTTGGAGAGTATTAAAAAAAAACTTACACAGGAAATATGTGGAGATGCTGTAATAATGATATTACTAAGGAAACATTCCTACCTCTGGTTGTGATTGGTTGAGAGATGGGACTAGGTGGTCCAATACCTCGATCATTCACTGCTCTGACTAGGAACCTGTATGTTGTTCCTGGTCTTAGCTGCTGGACTAGGAACCACTCCTCTGTAATCTGATCTGCCAGAAGTTGCCAGCCTATCACGAAATGAAAAGAACGTATTAGGAAAGAAACTTTGGTTGGTTTTAAGAGCTAGTACAAACTGTGAAACAAAATAGTAAAATTCAAAAAGTGGGCGGAAAGGCTGTAAACCAAACCCTCCCACATCCCATAAAACCCTCCAGGATTTGGAGGTTTTTGTAGGAGTCAGACACATATAACCTACTCTCAATTAGTTTACACGGGATTTGATACCCTTGAAAAAAGTGTCATGATTTTTAACAGTACTAGATTTTAGAAGAGATTGGAAGATTGCAGCACAAATACCTTAAAAGTGAAGATAAAGACTTAATCAAGTGACTGCAGTTTGAGAATTGAGGGGTACTGGGCTTGCACCCCATATCATATATTCCTATTTCAGGTGCCTGTGAATTCTACAGATCAATGAACTCTCTAAATTCGAAAGAGTGAAAATTCACGCTATTTGAGTGAAAATTCAATCCCTCCGATTGAAATTAAGGACCAGACGAATTGGAGTGAAATTTCTTCACTCCAAAAGATTGAAATTTCACTCAAGCTTCCACTGGAAGGGGCTATTTTCAGCTTTTTTCAGTCTAAATTCAGAGAGATTTTCACTCTAAAACGTCTTGTCCCTAATTTCATTCTTTCCAATTTAGAGAGAAGCAACCTGCGCAAGTGGACGAGTATTGCCTCATCAATATTTTGTAATCATTTTCAAATGGATTGAACTTATTTTTCTTACCCGATGTACCATGTTGGTTGAAATATTCCAGCCGGTAGTGAGTGACAGGGGCAACTGAAGTTGGTGGTTGCCATGACAAAGTCAGGGTTCTCCTAGTGATGTTGCTGGGCAACAGGGGTCCTGGTGGTGAGGGTAAGTACGATAGGCTTGGTGCTGTCTGAAGAGACACACCAGAGCCAAGATCCACCTCTTCTGTAAGACAGACCCACCAGTGAGACAACAGTCAAGCAAAATGTGGCAAAAACTATCTCCCCATTAAAACAAAGGCAGGACACAAATTTCAGAGACAAATATTAAGTTAAATGAACTTCAAGATAACAATTTATCATGGTATAAGGCCAGTGTCAACAAGAACAATGACTTATTACTACCATTGATCTTGTTTGGTCAAAGGAAATTCGTGAGTTATCCCTTAAAATCAACCCAATGTTAACACTGAACATGATACCATCCATGTTTTTCCCTGTCTCACTGGAGATTAACATTTAGTCTCACTAGTCCTTTGTCAATTAAGAACACACACAGGGTTTTCAGAGTAGTGGGTAAGAACCACATACTCTTAATTTACGATGAATTTAACAAATTCTCCACACCCTTTTTTCATGTCTTTGTAGCCTCCTCAATGTCCCTGTTTTATTATACATCTACATCCTCCTCATCTCCTCTTCAAATGCTAAAACACTGTAACACATATCATTGTCTACATACTAGGCCAAATAAAAAGCTGAGGGTTAAGAGCAGGTCATACTTGATACAAAAGTGATAAAATGATGGCTTTGGAAATGGTCATGGTTGCAATGGATTGCAATTTGACAGCGCAGTCACTTTATCACCATGTCACAGTCACTTTCAAATTTGCTTTCACATTGAACATGAACTGACCCTAACATTCAAGAAATTAAACATATTCTACATATGGTATTTAGAAATGTGCCTCTTCATTGCTTTCTTTTTTAATGTCAATGAGGCATTAAATGAGACATTAAATACTAGACTAATTTTGACATAGAAATGTGAAGTGAGTGTACTTGGTCTTTTTGTTTGAAATCTGAACAACTCACCAATAACTTGCAGAGATGCTGACCAGCTAGTCTGGCCCCATTCATTGGAAACAGTACATGTGTAGAGTCCAGAATCAGACAGGTGAAGTGTACGAAATTCCAAAGTGCCCGAGTCTCTGACAGATATTCTGCAATCAAAAATGCCATGCCAGATGTTGTTCTCTGAATGCAAGAATAATTCTATCCCAACACCAAGATTCATCCTGGTAATTGGAACTGCTGAAGTCAATGAGTAAATTCTATTCAAAATATAGAGAAAATTTGATCTGCCTTAATCTGTGAGAAAGATTCTGCTGGGATCGAAATGTCGGGCCATCCATATTTTAAGATGATTTTTTGTAATAGAACACAACAGCGGTCAACAGATGCTGCAGTTTGTTGGACTTATTAGTCAATGTTATTGGCAAGGGACAATCTCTACAAAATACCACCATTACTGTTTTGCCAGTGTAGAGTGCAGTGCCACAGGATCCACACAAGAACTATTAGAACTTAACTCTCTCACAGTGAAACTGATTTGCAAACTTTCACAAAACTCACCTTGAACTGGTCTGAATGGGCACAGAGTTTTTGCTCCACTGTAAAGTGGGTTGTGGATTTCCTGTTGCTTCACATGGAATCAAGCCTAAGGCTCCTGCTAGGTACGTCTGGTTGCTGGGTACATAGCGGATGACAGGGGGTGGCTCACCTAGTGTGGCTATCAGAAATGATGGCAATACAGTGTCATAATCTGTATTAAGGTGGACTTGCTAGTGTATATGTTGCTTGCTTGCTTTTGGTGTATTTCTGCCAGTCAGCTGATTATGCCAGTAGCCTCTATACAGGGAGTGTCTTGGAGGAGGCAACACCCTATCTGTAAAGATTCCATGTGGAATACTTGGAAGCTGCTCACTTTGCTTACCAACAAGCCGAAGCTACATGTACATGGGGAGCTGATCCTAATATGCAACAGAAGTTTGACTACAAAAATGTGCCAGAGTGCTCCTGGACAAGGGTCATCTTGGAAGATTTGTGGAGCTTTTTGAAAAATCATATTAAGGACTTTACAACGCATATTCACAATAACATGCTTATGGAGTTACAATGCACAGACCTCCGACTAATAACACAGCATTTTATGACCAGGAATGAGGGCACACTGTTAGTTTCTAAGATCACAATGGGTCAAGGCACTGTGACTGTGCAGGCTGATTTCAACATAACCAGCAATACTCTAGCATACTGGTCATCTCTAATAAGAGATTTTGCCTACAGACATCAAGGCCTTAAAGCTTTGAATACGCCTTCAAAAGCATTGGTGAATGAAGTGATTTACGATAAAGTATGACAAGCATCTGCCTCAAAAATGACACTTTTCCACTTCAAACTGAACATCTTCCAAAATTAAGCAGTGCCCCAGTGCTGTTATTAGCCTACTATACCAGTATCACAAGTACAACAAACAAAATAAAAGGGTAATAGAAGAGTTTGGGTAAACACCTATGAATTTCTCCACACTTCTCTGCTTTGCATACCATATTCCCACTCTGCCTGTCACACTTCAAAATGGCTCATTACAATCCACCATTCTTGACTATTTACTTGGGACAAAACAGGCACAACATGGAAGCCCTGTGAGTGAATAAATTATTCATATAACTCTCCATGGTATGCATTCCGCCAAATTTTAAACCAGTCAAGACCCTGGGCAAAATTAAGGATTACAGTCTGACATACAAGTGTTTTCTCTTTACAATGTGGTGTGAAAAGTGACCTCTTCAAAGAAACTTAGTGTTTCAAAGTATTATAAATCATTTCTACACACCAAAGTAGAGATGGAAAGATGCATGCAGACCTGCACAATGATAAAAGCATGACTTCATCCTACAAAACTCACAATGGCCACGAGATCCAACAAAAACCACAGTGAAACCAAATGGTTTACTGCATCAGGCAGAATGCACCCGGAATATCATTTTCCAATTACATTTAATATCAGTGCCTAATTTTTCAATCTTCAAATTGTAAAAACACTGCTGTCTAGGTTAGAGTATTTTACACTAGCTGGAGCCCCATGCACTGGACAAATGACTGAAATAGGTGGGCATGCAAATTATAAGTGATCCTACACACCAAGCCAATCCCAGCCATCGGTCACAGTGGATATAAAGGCAATTGACTTGTCAATAGTTGCCAGTTGACAATACTGCTTAGGCATATGACAGCCAATTGATTGCAATGTGATGACCACAAAACAAGTCTTGCACAATTGTGGGGCATTCACTGTGCCAACATCTCACATGAGAAACAGCAAGTTTTGATTTTTCTGTAAGCTAATTTTGATGCACTGAACAACTAGCTACCTTCACAGGTCACAAGGCCATAACTAGCGTTGTACTGAGTCCATAATAAGGCCAGTCATAAGTAACAGGGTGAATAATGACAAAGAATGCTTCTGTCACAGCTCATTTGAATAGCTTGTGAATTGGCTTAGGACAGAATGACTTGTGATGGACTTGCAAGGACTTGTGATGGACTCAAATACAACACTGGCATTTGGAAAACTTTCACAATACAGTGAGCCACGAACTTTTGCCGGAAGAGGCCATATTTCAATTTCTTAGAAAACTACCACCTGTAGGCCTACTTTTCAACATGTATTCATTTTCCCTCATTATCTTTGAGAATTACATACTTGTTCTGAATTACGGTGAAAGCACAAACATTGAACTTCATTGGTTCCTTGTACAAAAAAAAGTCCCTCTTTGCTCTGTTCAAATTCTCCTGAAAAGCAGTTAGTTCCCACAATGTAAAGCTGGCCACGCAACACAAACACAAGTGCTTCTAGATGTGGATGCCTTGTTTGAAGATGGCTCCTTATATAATGAGGATCCATCTCAAATTGCATAAAGCCAAAAGCACACAAAAAGGTAAGCTTCTGCCCATGATGCAATGCAGTTTCAGAATTTGACATTGACAGCCTGTCTATAATTTGAATCACTTAAGCTGTTTGCATGCAATTTCCACATATGCTTGAACGAAAACATGCATGCCTCTAACACAGATTCAATCTTACAATGCTATGTAAGATATGGTGCCATGCGGGATAGTAAGGTTGTGCAAGGTGACAACCGGAAACAACCCCAGCAATGCACTTAAATACATTGCTAAATTTATCTGATATTGAACGGAATGCATGCAAACACCCTGCAAGCTCTTGTTATCCAAACAGCTGAGATGTCACAGACACTTGTGAAAACTTACTGCACTTATTGTGATCACACTGAGAATAGTGTTTGCACAGAACACAGTGTTAAAGACAAAGCATGCAGGTTTATATAGCTATCTTACCTGGAGCTAGGGTGCTGCTGGGTACTGGCAGGTATCAAAGGAAAATAAAGCATAGAATGGGGAAATTATTAGGTAGTGATTACAAGAAAATGATTAGGCACAGCATGGAAGTCAGTAGAAATTGGAAAGAAAAACCTGTAGCTCGAGACAATGACAGACATACATGTATGTCCTGAGAGTAACACCAGATTAGACTATGTCAACAGTGGAAACACTTCATGAATAACAATGAGCTAAATGCCTAAAAAGTACCACTGCATGTGTGCCACAATGTGAAAAATCAAGTTAAGCACCTTATCTACGTGTATCAATCTAGAGTCAAATCCTGTGCTTTTTCTCAAGTAACTGGTGACATACAACAAAAAACACCCTGTGACCTGACTTAAAAGTAGGTGGCTTGAGACTGACTCGCAGTAAGGGTGACTAGTAACCAGGCATAAAAGTGTCTTAATTTTATTGGGTTGCTAGTCAGCTAACTTTTAAGTACATGTATATGTATAAGAAACAGCTTACAGAGTTTTCAACAGTTAAAGAGAAGCCTATCAATTGAACACATCAACAGGTAAACTGTCACAAAGAAAAACAATATTGGAAAATTATTTTTGCCAAACAGGGATATGTTATGCCGAGAGGTTAAATTACACATTGAAAGTTAAACCAGCATATGGTTCAAGGGTGATTAGTTGATATAATCTCTCTTTGGTATTAGAGTTGACAAACTAAATGCAAAGCATAGGAAAGGGAACAACTTTGTCAACTTGTAAAAAAAAAAACAAATAATGTTATACTTGTTTTACTATACACGTATCTCAAACATATTAACTACAAGTACTTCGTAAAATTTTTCAAGAGCCTAAAGAAAGAAATACCAATTAACGACTGCAGAGATGCCAATTTTTCAACACGAAAAGGTATAATCCTATCACACTTCCAGTTTCCTGACTTCTCCTAATTTTTGGTGCAACCCTAAAAAATTTGATCGGCAAATTAGAAAAAAAGTTTCAAAAAATCCTTTTTTCGTCTTTTCTTTCAAAACAAGCACCTGTCAACAATCTCTTTTCACGTCAAAACACTTGTATTTACCTGACTAGCACTATGCAAGTATGAATTGTAACTAATTGTTGATTATATTTCCACATTAATTCTGGTAAGTTTTATTTTTATTAATCACATTGGAGGCAATATTTTGCAACTTTTGTCCCATTCGATCAAAACAAAAAATGTCAAAAAGTCCTTATCTACCGCCCCTATTTAACCGGAAGAGAGCTATTTTTTCTTGGCCAAACTAATGTGCTTATATGTCTAACTAATGTGTCGTAAGATCCAGTGTGGGCAGTGTTTATCATGTCACAGTTACACGTGTTGCAAAACACGTAGGCTTCCCCATGACGAGACTCTGCAATAAAGGCCCATTTTTGTTGTGTATTTGTTCCTGAACTTCTGCTGACTTGTTGCCACTGTGCAAAATGAGTCTAGTTGCTCACAAAATATCCAAGAATCAAATCCATGACAGTCCTCCACTGCGGTCAACTTTAGCACGATCACCCATCCTTACACAGCAACACTTGTGGGGTATTTCCTTTGTTTTAGTGTACAAAACTCCCACACAACAAGCCAAAAATTTCAAATCACTCCAATTTAAACCAAATTCACTTTCCTGGGTATGTCCCTCATATAAAACACTTCAATTTGCTACTGATATTTACCCATCAAAAATTTCCCCTTTTTGAGTTATTTCCAAATATCAGTTTTGTGAAATTCTTGTGGATTTTGGTACCCCACAAGGTAAAAACTGGCCTTGTGGGGTACTTTGCATTGTTCCGGTATCCCACAAGGCCCTATGTATAAGCGCATGATGTTCGACACACATGTGTACGATATCGGTACATGTACAATATAATGCAGGGACATACACAATCACATTGCATATGAAGTGCAATCGTGCCTCTTTGCCCCCTGTTCATCATAGCGTTAATCGGGGTGAATGGATGATTCAACCATGCTGGTTTCTAGCACTACTCACGCAACTTGTATGCACAAACTGCTGGATGCCATTGACACATTTCTGACACGCGCATTACGAGGCCGCCTCCGTGCTAGCTTATGTAGAGTTTATACACAACTGTATGGTTTTGTATCTTCGAGTTGGAAATCGTAAAAAAATCTTAGTCTGGATCATCAGTGGTAAACGGACTAAACAAATCGTAAAAATTACGCCTAAATCGTACAGGTTGGCAGCTGCAATAGCCCTGAAGATTCTCTGGTGTAAACACTGTCTACAGGTTGGTTTCACAGTTGTTCATTGAACATGAAAGTAACAAGGACTACCTTTGCAAAACTTGCAGTAGGCATTTACAATTGCACTTTTTCCCCAACCTCACTGTGCACTTACAAGAATGTCAAGAGGCATGAGATGGTGAATTGACCAGTTTAAATTCAGTTTTAAAGCATATGCATAAGGTATAGTTTCTTCTTGATTTAATACACTGATTTGGGATTATTTACAATGGTGCAATGTTACTGATGTCATTTCTGGTTGTTTGTTGCTCTCACTTCAACACATGTCAAAGCACATTGCCAAAGTGATTGGTTGAAGCTTTCTGTCACAAAAGTCAACTGAGAATGGTGCCTCATTGTAAAGAAACTGAAATTTTGTAAGTATGCTTTCCCTAAACACACTAAGCAAACACAGGATACATGTAATGACTCATACAAGAATACAGACACCTACTGCAAAGTTATCTCTCAAGTTTGGCCCATTTTTCTATAATTTGAAAGGTGGAATTTCATTTTTCAAAATTGATAATTTAACTTAAGAGTCACACCAACAAGAAAGAAGTTTCTACATGGAAGATGAGAATCATTGTTCATGAGGTGTTCATGGCTTTGGAAGTGCTATGCCACCAAGATGGTAGAGTTGACTAACCTAGTACTGTCAGATAAGCTGAGACTTCTGCTGTGCCAGAAATACTGACAGCTGAACAGACATAGAAACCTTCATCTTCAGTTGTGACTTCATAGATACGTAACTCTCCTTCCTCACTGACTGTCAAACGACCCGAGTCATAACTCTGCCCACTGTACAACAGCTTCTGCCATCAACAACAATATAGAACAACATGAATTTTTCATCAAATATGCATATCACTGCGTCATACATTTTAAAAAGTTGTTAAGTCTACAAAACAATATTTGTACTTCTTCTGAAAACCAGTTACAAAAATAGGCAAACACAGAGAGACAAGTTTTTAAAACTTTCCTTAAAGAGCAACCCCAACGGTGGAAGAAAACTGACTCACTGACAATTAAAGAAGCATTTCTGCGTGGCCCCATCGACAGTAAAAATATGGACAGTTTTTAAAAACCTGCAGAATTGGTCCACATTTTGATCGCACTATTACTATTTAGTCAGAAGTCATAGTGCCACTTTACATATATAACTTCTTAGATACCACGTGAGTATATTAAACTATGTTCTGCATTTTTGTTACCACCGTTGGGGTCTCTCATTGAAATACAGGCACATGTGTATGTCATCTTATGTTACTCTATGTAATTACACATTTTAGATTCACTTGTGTAAAATCTGTACCACCTTCTGGTAACAATTCCTTCTCTTAGGAAAGTCATGACAGAGTTTAGGGAGGTGACAAAAACTTGTTCTTATAACCTATTTCATCCCCACATCTATCTTTCAACACATGCACTGTCCCCACGACTACAGACCAAGAATGTAAGAATAGGCATCTACACACAAAACTCAAGTTGCTAATAGTGAAGTACTTGGGTTGCTATGTGGGAGGTAGAAACCTTGGTGTAATACAGTAAACTCTGGCTAAGTCCGCACCCTCAGGACCCGAAAAAATGTGAGACTTAAGTGAAAGCCGACTTCTACTGTAAGTCCTCCTTTTGCCAGTTAGCATGAATTGATGACCTATGCATAATTATGTCAATGTACTAGTGGGATTTGGTTGCAGTGGCAAAATATCTAGTCCGAGCATGGAGGGAGGAATAGACGCAATGGAAACATACCACATGGTTTGCAATGCTCCAAAGTTTTGACATGGGGATTGGAGTTTGAGAAGTGCAGCAGTCTATCAGTGTGAATGGGGTGCCTGCATATACATGTACATGGACTGCTAAACACTGAAATTGCCTGACAATGGCCAAACAAAAAAAATCACACTCCACTGGACAGCTGAAAATATGTGCACTAAAACTTTTAAAGTACACGAGAGTGGAAAATACAAACGCATAAAGGGGAATCTAGTTCTGTAAACTAACTCATTCGCTGAAGCATTTCAGTATTTTTGATCGCTTTAGGGCTGTGGAGTGTCGATCAAAGTTTGGAACGTACTTCAAGTTGTCGCGGGGGTCACTGGCTTCCAGCCATTCCATATTGTTTTTGCTATTTTTGGCAGTAAGGACCTGTGTGCCATATTTCATCAAGTCTTGTGCACTTGATTCCACATACCCTCATATACACATGTTTTTGGGCAGGAAAAATCCATTCAATTCACATGGCATGTACATGTACATGTGATATCCTCAAAATGTACATGTGCTGCCAGAGAAAGGTCTGGGATCCATCTATCAGAGCAGTGCATGCAATGCTGTGCTGGGATGTGTCCTAACTGCAACACTACATAAACACTGATGCAGCGATCACACACCGTGTCTACAAACGGATGTTGCCGTGTGACTTTTAACTGATGCTTCTTGCCATGTCAATGCTAGTGCAGGATTTTTCATATGCTGACTTACAGGTACATAAAGGATTTTGTTGTGCTTTTTGGGGAAATGGGACCGAGGGTAACATGAAGACTTAGGTAAAATGATGACTTATAAAAGCCGACTTAGAATAAAAAATTCTAATGGAAATGCATTAGAGATGATTGGGACTTTCATAAGACTGATGACTTGCATGATTTGCCAAGTTGTACGATGTCGACTTAGAGGGAGTTTACTGCACTGACTTGCAGTGTACAGTAAAAACAAATTTAAAAAAAATTAGCATTAGACACACTCGCAACTTTTAAGGTTCAACTATTGGTGAGGCCTTTTTTTTTCATGGCTTGAATTTTTAGGATGTACTCAGCACAGATGTCTCAAAAAACTGAGTTTCAATGAACTTATGTCCTTGAGTAGCAAAGATCTGATGGGTTGGAGGGTGGCATCTCTTTTAGGAACTCCACTTAACACCACAATGAAACCCTTTCAGAATTGGCTGCCTGCTTGGACAAACACTACCTGAAGGCCATCCTTTTGCCAGAGGATAGTAGGGGGTGGACTGCCTGTCACCTTGCATTCAAATGATACCATGTGACCAGCAGACACTGTCTGGTCAACTGGTTCCCTGGTGAAGGTGGGCTCAGCTGCAGGAGTAATGAACAAATACATGTGCCATTAAAAAGCAGGTTCCAGGATGAAAGAAAGGGGCATATTGACACCAGCACCATGGTCTTGTTGAGTACCTTGCCACAATAAAAAAGAATCCATTCCAAAGCTGCAAATGAAATCATTACTACAATTTGAAATGAATCAAGTCTCTGTCATAACCAATTTCAGTTCCAAAGAGGAGGATTTCAGGTGGCACATAACGATGTTGATGATGGCTTTTTTTCTGTAAATCTGTAAGTTTTGAATAGATATTTAGTATTAACACCTGTCCCATGCTGCTTGCATGCGGACCACACACTTAAAAAGGACACAGGTTTGTTCATTATGTTAAATTCATTTGAAAAAGTGTGCGAACAGTGTGCGTTTGGAGGCGACCATGAAATACATGTACATCTGCACAAAATGCCGATGATTTAGACCCATATGCATCCCACATAAACCCAGATTTAGGAGGGAAGGAGTGTGCAATGTCACCCCCCTTTCCTACGTATGTACTTCATGGGATGGCCTCTTTCATGACCACTGAGTTTGCCTCTACCATCCATGCAGATAGGCCTGGTGCTGTGCATGTAACAGCAGAGTCAGGGTGACTTACTATTGACTTCTAGAGTGATGGTCAGGGCTTCTGTCCCCCAGCTATTCTCAGCTCTACAGATATAACTTCCTTCATCCTCCTGAACCACTTGGCTGATGTGGAGAGTGTTGTCCTCATGAATTTGAAATCTGCAGGTATTGCGAGACAAATCATTTTAAGTACAGGCCCTCCGTTTTGCTTACATGCAGACATCTAGCGTTATTTTGTGAGGAGGGCATCAGTTTAAACTTTGACAGCAAATGTTTGGATTTTGTATTGAAGAAATAGGTGTTGATACCATCCTTATAGTTAGACCTAAGCTTAACTCTTGGGAATTGTTCATTTATTTGTGCTGCTCTCAGGCTTTGGAATAATTTACTACTTCACATAAGAAATGTGAAATCAATTTATCACCCTGTTAAAAACATATCTGTTCATGTAAATGTAGCCAGGTCAGATTCAGTCGGTATTTTTTATGGGAGTTCCTCCACTGTAATATTACACTGTCCTGTTCCTTGGTGTTAGGCCGTTCCCCCTTGATTTTGGCCTTGTAATTCTCTTGACACTGAATGCAAATTTTGCCCAGTTACTGGTACTTGACCTCCCTCAAGACCATGTGGTTTCCAAGTTGTCCTCAGTCTACAGAACAGCAGTGGATTGAGCACACCACTTTCATTTTACTTGGCTCCTTTCAATTTTGATCTTTGCCGCTGAAGTACTTGGTCTGCTGTGGACTTGGTTATTCAAGCATGAGAGTTATAGATTTATGACTTTCCTTGAACACTTTTTTTTCTTGTGGTCCTTATTTATTTGTTGGTTAACAGGACATTATAGTCTCCTCTACTGGTGAGTAATATGTTTCAACTTCTTATGTTTTGGTCTGGTTACTCACAATCTTCTAAGGTCAGCAGTTTCAGTAATTCTAACCGTTGTTTTAATTTTCAATTATTTTTCAGCCTGTAGTTCAATATTTATTATAAATTTGTGGATTTTTGTTCTGTTCATCAATTTGCAGACACTATTTTTTGGTTAGTATTTCCTCCTTGAAAATGAAAAGTTCTTCTTGCTGTTGAAATCCAGATACTGCCTTAGCTGTTGCTTTAACTGTCTCCATTCTTAGGATTATCTCACAATTCCTCCCTAAAGCCAAAAAAAAAGGTTTCCCCTTTCTGGTCAACACGCACGTCACTGTAGACCTGCGCCTCAGCAAAATAAAGAATTTTTTATTTTGCATAAAACGATTTCCAAAAGCTGCGAAACTTACTTGATTGGTAGGAAATCTGCTACCACATTATTTTAACATGTTTTTGACAGGTGGGATTGAGTAATATTGGGATTGAGCCCTAATAGGATTGAGCCCTAATGGAAAAAATACAACTGATCTATATCAGCATCAATCTCGCTTCACTTATAGGTGTGCATATGCAAAGTATCTGTCATCAAGCTCCTAGTACAAATTGGCCAAGCTACATATGATGTGGTCCTTCCTCAATGATATATCTAACTAGTTGCTATCCTGTATGCATCTGAGCAATTTCCATGTTTATGGTTAAATGAAGTCTCGGCTTGTTTGGTTGGTTGTTTTGAGAACAGTTTCCAACCATGCTGACGGTGGTTTGTTGAGTACATGTACAATTCCCATGGATACAAGCTTAGGGACACTTGAGTCACACTCCATTGTGATCCATCGATTCTACACATTTCTCTTGCATTGGAACAACTTGTTTGTTAACTCTGCATGGTCAGCCGACAGTTGTCTTACAAAGGCTATACTATACAAGTACACATAATTGCTGTGCTACATTAGTGGCTTTCAGTGACTCTTACAACAGACTGAATGAAGTCATCTGGGCTTTTTTTTTTTTTTTGACGATTTTTTTGGGGAAGAATTAGATATTTGCAACATGTTAAACAAACTGTACCGAAAATCAGTGACTTCAAAGATTCCATTTGAAATTCATGCAGTCAATATACAGTTGACATGTGGAAATAAATATCACACTGGTCCATGTACATACACCTCTAATGAATAAAAGTTTATCTTGAAACCAATAAATGGCTGGATTGTCCTTCTACAAAATTGACAGAGAATTATAGAAAGTATTAGCATAAGTAGATGCAACATGTGACCCACTGAGCTCAGAGCTAATCTGGAAAAGTGTGCAATGCAATGTATTCTAAATGAACCATAAGCTCTCCGGAGTGCATGCCAAAGGTGACACAAAGCTTCCGGATGGGAACAATCACTGAAAATTATCAAAAAAGTTCTGTATAAAAATAAGATTCTAAGGGCAACCACAGTGAAACAACAGATTATGCCTAAAAGTCACTGGCCATCATGCTAATTGTACCTATTAATGGTTTTAATATGCCATTAACCTGTCAAATGCCATTACATATGCAATGAATGAATCCTGTTAATGCACCAATTAATACCTCTTAGACATTGATCGCAGCTGTAAGGACACCTCGTTAGATATCCGTAAGTACAATTAAAACCTTGATGATTAACTGCCACTCAGTGCATGAGCAACAGAGTGGAATCAATATTAAGTGCAAGGATATGAATGTAATTGTTTGGGGTGAACACTACAAAGTCATAGATATGCTTGGGTGTGTTCCGTATGTATGTCATCCATACTTATGGTGTTTCCTTATAAGGCATATGCAAAAAACCTACTGTGGAGATCAGTGCTTATGAATTCAAATTCCTTTATGAAATTTTTACCTTTTTGTAAAGACATTGATAATGACATCAAGTTAAATTTGTATTTTATAAAGCTGGTAGGGTGCCAGATGTCCAACATCACATTGTACAGAGCCTTAGTATTCATGTGATAAGCAAGAGGCAAGGATTGACCCTAGGCCAAGCATTAGGGGATAAGTGGTAGGGTCAAAAGGTTAACTAACGATAGATAGGTTTCACCAAGGTAATTTCCTTCACTCTGGTCTATTCATAATGTTCATGTGCAAGTGTTGTTGGACATAGTTATGGATCCCAGGTGAAACCACCTGTCCTCCATCAAACTGCATCTTCCATTCCACTATCAGCTACATGTATGGTCAAAGGGTCAATCAAAAGTATTAAAGTTTTTCCACTTAGATTTTAGTTCCAACTTTGTTTAGCCTATCGCATCCAGACACCCACCCAACCCCAGTTTTCAACATCTCCATGCAAGTGGGAAATTGGTCTGCTCACCACATTTAAGCTGTTGAAATTTTCTTTTGTATTTGAAAGAAAATTTCAATCATTATTTATTTTCCTGTACACTCGCTCCAAACATTTTAGAACAAAAATTGTAATTTTGAATGGCCATTTTTGCATTGTAATCATGGACTATTAACCTCTATCAAGAACAGGAAGTGCTGTACCACACAGCTGAGCAGACATATCGAAGCAATACATGGTAGATAGTTAAAAATTGAAGGATACATTGCAAAAAACTATATAAGAAAAATGAAGAAAGTGAAGTGTGAAAAAATTGCTCTTTTAAGTTTGGCAAAGGACAGTATTTGAATTGAAAGGATCCATGGATGAATGTTTCATTTCCCTTCCTGTAAGCTTTCCATTAGATGCTTTGTATTTTGATTAATCACTGAAATTAATGAAAGAAAAGTGCTCCCAGTGATGACCTTGGTTGCATAGCTAAAACACAGTAAAATAAAAAGTGAAAGATGAAAAATATCCCTTATTTTTCCCTCAGTGAAACTTGGAATTAATTTCAATCCGTCCTTTAAAAATTTTGTTATTGAAATGGAAAAACCTTTATTGTGATAATGTGCAAGTTAGTGTATGTATCTACAGTGCTCACTTTAGAAGACACAACTTCCTCCTTGTTGAATATCAGTTACAATAAGAATCCAAACATGCAGAACTACACTGCCCTTATTTCATTTGTTTCATATCAAGCGAATTGTACAAGTGCATGTAAGTCACTAGTAGGATTTGGCCTGATCAATTTACACAACTTCACTGACAGTGACTGCAAGCAACTGCTGACATGGGTTATAACAGGCTGACCTACACGTACATGTACTTCATCTAAAGAACCACGGACTGACTGTAAAGGATTCTACATGAAATAGTGAATAATGTTTTCAATACAAAAAACAAGCTTTTACAAAGGGTGGCTTATTTTAAATACTGGAAGACAGCAATGATTAGGTCTACTAGTATTTGAAGGTCTACTCATGAGGAACATTCCCTACCATGCGTGACAGAAGGCAGTCTTGCCAATGCACAAAACCAATCATCTGCATTCAGGACCAATCTCCAAGAGGCTACTTTACCTACTAATACTCCAATAAGAAGATATATATATTACCACCTCTTGAACTCAAGTAATGTGTCACCAGTTTTGTTTAGACAACTCCTTGTGATCTGTTTGCATTAGGTGGTTATGTAAGTATTGTACATGTATACATGGTGTGTTTGCAGCTGTACATGCTACAGCTATGTGCTTCCATGCTGTTGTCCTAGATACTCCACCCTATGATGAGGCTGTCATCAGTGACATCAAACACCTCATTGCCTCCCAACACTGACTCATCTGTCTCAGTGGACCCCTGGCTTTTTGTTCATGAATTCTTGTGAATAATGAAGCAGGCTGAGGCGAATGCCAGTAGATATGAGTTTGTGACGATGAGGATGCTCCCATACAGCCTTGGTGTTGACACAAGCGGTCTGCTTCCTGTCATGCTTGAACTAACCCCTACATTTCTCTCAGTTGATGCCCGTTCTCCCTGTCAAGTCTAAAAACTACTGTCTATATCTTCACCTGTGGTAAAGAGTTGGTCCTTCTTCAAGTATTAGGACCTTCACTAGGTACATGAGATAACACAACCATGAACAACCCATACAGAAAACAGTTTACTCTGGCATTAAATGTGAGGTGGCCCCCTACAAATAAACAACAGCGCCCTCTGTCAACAAATCTTAACTAAGCTGAAATCTACTTAAAATATAATTTTTTCTCCTTTATGTTTACTTGTAAGAGTCTACAAATCTCCTTAAATTTTTTCGTGCTGGCTATTTCTGATTTTAAAAGTTGAAAAATGGAGATTGGTATAGCCACTTATATTTTTTATAACCATGAATTCGTCTAAGATGCTGGAATTACATTACGTACACGAGTACTTTGTCCTTCATTTGTGTCGAACATATTTTTAGTGGTCGAGTGGTAAAACATCTGAATAGTAGAAGCTCCAACCTGTGGGTTGGAATCCCACCTGTACAAGTTTGTATTTAATTCTGCACAGCTCAAGGTAAACACTGACTATGCAAGTACAGTGCTTACAAATTACATCAGTCATTCAAAGCGAAGAGCAAAATGCAATGTTCAAATTACCATCATCCTGATCATCATTCTAAACAATTCTGGCACAAGTAATTGAATTTCTGCACACAAATCTGTGACAAGCAAGTAACAGTTCTCACCTTCCTTTTGGCATGTCTGCGTCTCGTCTTCTCCACGTAACGCTAGGGATTGGGTCACCCTCAACAACACAGTGTAGGTTCACATTATCACCAGGTGCAGCAATAATGCGATCTTGCACGGGTCTGGTGAAGGATGGACGTGCTGCAGGCATGACATAGCAAATTTTAAAGAGAAGTGTAACCTCTGTTGAACAACAAACAGTGTTTTTCTTGGTTTTTTCAAACTTAATCGAAGTAATGTACTTAAAACATGAAGCAAGTTAGAAGGATAGGATCAGTAAATCAGAATTCCCAGAATAAATCAATTCAGTAAAATTACAGTGAAAGACAATATGCCTAATAACTTTAAAAGCAACTGAAAAACAATCAACGGCATGTTTGAAGATTTACCTCAGGCCAGTGAAAGTATAATGACACCTCTAAAATAAAGACCACATATTCACTTATCTTAGTGTACCCCATAAGTTTAATTTTCTTTCATTTTGCACATTCTGTGGTTGGGCTCATTATTGCTACATCAGTGTATGCTGACCTTGCCCTGGACTTCAATAAAGCACAAAAACTTCAATAAAAACACAAACTTTAGTAGGCACTACTGCCCATAAAAGAACACTTCTTGAAAATACAGTAATAACTTATTCCTCCACACAAGGTACATTTTCACTTGAAGTTTATATTAGTCTTTTTTATTAAATAAGGGTAGGCAGAAAACCACAAGCTACCTTTGAGACACAAAGATAATAGAATAAGGCTAGGGTTGGTCACAGTACTCCCCTTGCAGTCATAACACCATTACACCCTCTCACTGCAGCAAAACTACCCCTAACTCAAGAATACTATTTTCTTTTAGCTTTTGTTTTCATTTTGGGCAGTCCACCTTTGCCAAAAACCTTCATCTGTTGGATGCACCAACAACTACATGTAGGACTCCAGGAGCCTCACTGTTCACAGATGCACAAGGCAATCGCTAAAATGACCAGAAACCTAGTGACAACCACATCTGGCTTGCTTCAACTACCTTGCAATCTCCAACCTCAGTGCATGCAGTAACAGTGACACATTGTCAAGTTATCTGGGAGTGAACCAGAGTTGATTGGAGGGAAATGCCACTTGAAAGAATCATTACAACAAAGGCACTTGTGATTGGAGTGTCTCAACTTTCTGTGGAATGGTCAAGGCTGAGTAGTATTTCTCAGCTGTCAAAGAATTAAAATGAAATACCAGTCTTGCTCCGCCCATTGACCTGTCCTTAAATTCATACATACATTGATCCTCAAGGATAAATTTAAAATTGCCGTGCTCCTGCAAGGGGGATAATTTTTGGAAATTTCCTTGATCTATGGTAGACACAACAAATCAAAACTTGGAATGTTTAGAATCAGATGTTTCATAAGTCTGTAGGAAGCTATTAGCTGGACTTCAATACCTTTAGGCCCTATTAATCAAGCAAAGTAGTCATGTTTTAATACTTTCCCCTACTCAAATCTTACACAAAACAAAGGACTGGAACATTTGTTGTTTAATTCACATCGTTTATGTACTATCAATATTGCCCTGCATGTCTAACAGCAAAAGCACTCTAAAGCAAAATGTCACAACCCATGTTTGGAAATTCCACCATTTTTACTCAAAAAAGAACTCCTGTCCCTCTTTTAGTATTGCCATATGATCGAACCCCCAACAAAACAATGATAATCTTTGATCTCAATACAGGAAATGGTGATTAGCCATCACAAAACAAAAAATACCAACTAAGTATCTGGATAACAACAGCCTGAAGGAAGTACAAGATACTAAAATGAGTGACTTACCATGCACATTGAGTATGGCAGGTGGGCTTTCTCTCGTGCCAATCGAATTGGTTGCAATACACACATAGCTGCCTGTGTCTGTGCGCCTAGCCTGGTGACAACAAACAATTATTATAATTTCAACAATTCATTGTCCAATTCTTAATTTTAACAGTTCTGTTCAGGGTATACCAGTAAGAATTTCCAACAATATGAGAACTCAGATAACAGACCTCCCTGCTGCAAACAATTATAATACACATTGAGACAATGCTACTCTGGTGTAATTTGGGGAGAAGCAAGCTTAGCTTATTGTTAAACACCTTCACATATACAGAAAAGTTGCTTTCATATCATCACGTCAGTATTCATGACATAAGCTCTTCATCTGAAGCTTTCTTAGGTGACAAATAAAATGGCTGAAAGCACTGAAATACATGTATAATGCACACTAAGTCATGTCAGCAGCTATTTTGGGGAGGGCAACTGACATCACAGTGTCAACAGACAATCTCTATCCATTTTGTAAAAGCATGACAAACTTAGCAACATTCACAAGGACTGCCGGAATGTAAGGCATCTTGTCTGTAAATAATCAGCGCTACAGCTGTAGGTTTTCCTTTTTCCAGATTTTGCCCCTTAACAATAACACAGGAGCGACAGAACCATCAGCAACATGGCTGCTTGTTTTATCAGGTGCACTAGTATGGCAATGATTTATAAAAGGGATGGCACAGGAACTGGACATCTCTACAAAGGCAAGGGGGTTTTTACATGAGTAATTACACTTTCAATGGCTAATTGGTGGCACTATGACATTGTAAATAACTCATCAGTGCATATGTTAAGCCACAAAAAATGTCAACATCCAAGAGACACTAGCAGCCATACATTGTTTCAAGAAGTGAGACACAAAGAATGCTTTGAAAACAGGAACAAGTAAAAGAGGTCCAGAAATACAAAAGCTGATAACTTAATAATGACCCTGACATTTCCTGTGACATAGAGAATCTTGACAGGTCTTGTCTCTGTCCACAGTCATGTGGTTAGCCCCACTCACCCCTACCCTACAGAATCCAGACTGGATACGTACCTGTGATATCATGAGGTTTCCATCTTGTAGCACCTTGACTCTGTCTCCATCTACTATCACATCTTCATCATCTTTGCTCCAGGTGACGGTGGGTTCTGGGTAACCTCTGGGGGGTTGACATTCCAACACCACAGGCTCACCAGCCAGACCCACAGAGTCAGATGGGTCTGTGCGGAAGTCATCCCGTAAAACTGTAATGATACAAATTAGGTCTTGCACTAATTTATCACAAATTATCATTCATTCATTCATTCCTTCATGAACCCTGACTACTTGGGGTTGATGCAGCAACAGAATTCAGGTCTTACAAGTGGTGGTCATATTCACCCTCATTGACCATTGACCAGGAGTAGGAATCTCCCTAGGGATCAAAGAAGACTGAAAACTTTATCTAATGAAGTTAACAACACTATCTCTATAGAAATACTTTTCTGTGGAAATGGTGCAGTTCCACAGGACTACACATAAACAAGCTTTCTTTAAACCATAGATCCTTGTTCTATGTTTAAACAGACCACATTTACCAGTACAAATGTGCTTACTGAGACCTTGCACTTGCAAACTGTCACTTCCTTGCCCAATAAACTCAGCAAATTATAAACAGTATGTCAACTTCACTTGAAGTTAAGAAGAAAGATTTAACAAACATCTTCTCTCAAGGTTTTAGTGAGAAACCCCATGAAGCAGGGAAAGCACTGATGTGTCCAAAGAACAGGGATGGCCCGTATTACACATGTGACTTACATGTTGCTTTTTATCAAGGTTGCATCATATTTCAGAGTGAGTTAACTCGGTCAAGACAGACAGACGCGTCGATGAAATCAATCACTTATGAGCTCAGCAATTGGGTAAAAACAAGACGACATGGAAGGGCTTTCATCTTGACAAGTCTTCTATCTGTCCAAAGGCAATCTCTTAATGCACTTGCTCTTTCTCAGTAACAACTGAAATTCAGTACTGTTAATACAGAGATGTTTCCTGTTGGTTAGACTAGTACTTCGATGGCAGTTCTCAGATTGAATTTTCAGGTCTATATCCTATTGCTGATGCCATTCAAACTTCTCCACCCAAAAAGCTTCATTTGAGAATCAGTATTTGAAATGGGGTGACCTGCAGAAGAAGTCCTAGATACAGTGTCATATATAAATACTTGTAGCACAGAGCAGGGGAACTAAATGCACACCAATACTGCTCAATGCCAAGGGGGACTGGGAAGCATGAGAACCAGCTTGGGATCAGATTTCATATAATCCCGATGTCCTGCGAACAGCTGGTGACACTGCATAATATAAATGGTGGGTACCAGTTAGTATGCTCATGCAGTAAGTGTATAAGTTAAAAAAAAATCCAAGTTGGAGGCGTTCATCACTTTCTACTTTGCTTCTGAAAGTGCTTTCCTTTTATTCCACTTCATCCCTTGAACAAAATTATAAGGTTTGAGATTTTGATTCCAGCAGCATAACTATCAACCTGTTTCAGTGCTGTATTTGAGTCCATCATAAGTTCCTGCAAATCCCTGTGAGTCCCTGTAAGTACATCACGAGTCATCATGTCTTAAGCCAATTCACAAGCTATTCAAATGAGTTGTGACAAAAGCATGCTTTTGTTATTGTTCACCCTGTTACTTATGACTGGCCTTGTGAAGGGACCTGTGCAAGGACTTGCGATGGATCCCACTCCAACACTGACCTGTTTTGTAATTTCACACTGAAATATGTGTTTAACTTCAAACAGTATGTTGCCAAAGACAATGTTTGATTTCCCCTGTATTACATCGCATTTTGCAAAGCACTATCAACCCAATGCTACGCACTTTCAAACATAAATCGCACATTGTGCGATGCAAAAATACACAGGTCTTCATGCTGTGATATGCTTGAAACAACAGTTCGATTTACAGCATGCATACAGCGGGGCACAAAATCCTTTGAAATGTAGAAATCGGTGAGGAGCTGACTTCATTAATTTCCACACAACTCGTGTTCACTTCAGATAGCCAAAATACAGTCAGTAACCAATAACACGTGCAATATGCGCGGCGTGGCATGCATGGTCAGCTCCGGGCAGAGTGTGCATCCAGTACGCACATGACGGAATAACAACACGGGGTCATCGTTTCATGTCTCACAGTTTGACATTGCATTCAGTTTTATCTTCTGAACATGTCAAATGTAAGTTGAACGTGGAGGAAATGTAAAATGAATTAATGGAAGAGTGAAAAACAAGTTCAACTTACACTGGATAGAATAAAAAAGTGATAGATGTTTCGTTTTTGACTAACGTTACTTATGGGAAGATCAATGAAAAGGATAGCACGTCGTGTGCCACCAGATTGTACATACATTTTTAGAGTCCCCAAATGTTGTGCACTTTAAACTTTACTTGACTTGTTGCCAATCCCTTGTTGAAAAAATTTGTTTTGTTAAATACTTGTACTATAACCTTCAAAATAAATGCTGTTGGACCTGTTGAACCTGTTCAGTGTTAAGAAATTTCATCCAAAATTCAAAAACAGCAGCGTCCAGAAATTAGGTAATAATTCAGCTGAGTGTTGCCCAACAATACCAATGTGATGCACTTTAAAAAAATTCCCACAACCCAAACATTAACAAATTCTTTAAAGTTGACAAATTCTGCTAAATTAATATCTCCACTTACCCCAAACAAAATTTTGTTAGATTATTTTCCTATTTTGGGTGCATCTGTAAAGAGTTCATGTCAGACTTTACCAAAAAAATAGACAAATCAAGCAAAAATAAAAAAAATCATTGGAACTCTGGAGTGGGTCAAGATTTTTTGTAAAATACAGATTTTTGAATCAGGATGTTAGGAGTTTCTGATTTCACTTATAATGAAATTCGTTGTAAAAAATATTGCTCCGGCAAGGCACAACAGGCGAAAAATCAGAGTGCACAGCATTAAGGTACATCAACATACATGTATCCCTTTGCTAGTAAGCCATCACCAGCCACACAAGAAAGCCAACACCAGTGTTCACACTTTTGCAAGTAAAATAAAAGCCAGATTCTTTCAACAGTGCCATTTTGTTCATCAGAAAAAAGGGAAGGATACTCAGGTGTGTTTAACTGTTGATGTTCATCATGTGCAGCTTTTGTAGGAAGATCCCATTCGCAGGTATTTTACCCCTACTTTTAGGTATTTTATGCCTACTTAACCAACTTTTAAAATGTAAGAAATTGAGTACCCACTTGATCTAAAAATGATTTGAAAAAAACGTTTTCAAAAACTTTGTTTGTTTAACTGTTTTCTTTCATATGGATATTCAGGGATTCAATGCAGTTATATTGTGAAAAAACAGCTACACAAAATTATGTAATTCCTACGCAAAAATTTTGAAGAAATCGAACACTGGCCACAGACATCCAGTTGTTGAATATTGCTAATGGCTGTAAATAATACTTACAGATGTTATTCAAATACATTGTCAGTAAGCATCCAATTTGGAGCCAAATTTGAAACTCAGTTTTCCAAACATTGTGGTTGGAATCCGAAATGTTGGAACCTAATTCAACAGTTTGGAATAAAAATTCAAATGAATCATGTCCCCAAATATTTTAGGAAATCTTGCACAGAATTGTGTCATTTGTATGCATGTCCTTGCAAGGTGAATTGTCCAACTTTGGTGTTTTCCACATTGGCATGTCTCACGGTGACCCACAAAGAACAACCCCAACTTTGACATTTCTGCAATGAGGGTAACTGAGAAAGCCACTGGGCTTTGATAAAGACATGAGATTACCAGGAGGGAAGGTAAGTTGACAGGCTTTGCAACCCGATGCTCAACCTACTCCTGCTAATGCTCCCTACAGATGTGAGGCAAGTCTTCTGCAATTTCCAGGCTGCCATGTGAAGCCCATCTCATTCCAGTTTGTGTCACTTGCAAACACTCTGCATGTTCATACTGCTTGAACTCTATTAATCTGGTCCTTTTTTACTATACTGCCTAAAATGGCAGAAAAGAATAAAGTTACATTCCAAGCTTCACAAACATTGAATTCATTTTTGCTAAACAGACTAGTTTGCTAGTGTATCAGAGCAAGATTTTTTCAAGTGGGATCCAAGGGAGGTTAATTTGTTTAGGTTTTCTTTTCCTACAAAAACTTTTGAAATATTACAATCCAAGTTGCTGGTTCACTATTTCAAAATTGACTTCAGCACTAATGAAGGAAAATAACTTTTGACAAAAGTTTCTGTTGGGGAGATGAAATCTCTGAATAATGTTTCCTTCTCCCTTCAACATTGTTTCATTCAAGCACTGAATGTACAAGAACATCCCACATTCAGGTGGGTTCGCACCATCTACCGCCTGCCTACAAATCTTATTGATGCACTTTTTTCCTGACATACTCCCAGGAAGAACTGAAGATAAAGAGCTTTGTAAATTATGTCAGGAAAATCAAAACAGTCACAGATTGATTCATGTTCTCGGTGAGTTTTCTAAGTTTCTAGGTTTTCTATTGGAAGGATGATAATTTACCCATTATAACAAACATTCTTACCAAGGTCAAATGTTAACTGTAGGTTTAAAAGAATCTATTGCGTTCATTCATGCCAAGGCAGAAAATATGTACAGCAGCCTCAAGTAATGAAGGCAGCTTTGCACATGATTCAGTGTAAGTGGAAAAGGCCTATCCACTGAAACTATTTCCCAACTTTCCCACCATAAGGAGAATGGGAACATACTAACAAGAGTTGAGGAACTGAACAAGGAACCTATCTTTTCTTTCCAAGGATAACATTCCATTAGGACAATGCCACTTTCACTGATGAGACCTTCCCAAACAATCTGATTGATAACAATTCAAGCTTGTTTCCTCCCTTGTTACTGCCCATCATGTCAGCAACATGACACTGATTTGATTGGGAGTAATGTATTTGATTTAGCGCAGCAGAGAAGGCATGTGTGAGTAAACTTACCACAATGCTGCAGATGGAACCCCTGCTGAGCATTGTCAATCCTCAATGCACAGGATTTCCACAGTGCTAATTTACTGAATAACACAGCTGAAAGTGGACAGTAGACACCTAGGAGCAGGGATGACACAATGCAGGCCAATCTTGTCTGGAGCCAGACTGGCTTTATTGGGTTGGCTGGTGGGTCTATGCAGTGCTAACAATCCCTACAACCACACTTATAAAAAAGCCTTCTTGGAAGACCAAGACAATATCTGCCTGCAGGGAGTCTGCCAATGGTCTGCCCTATTTAGCTCAATAACCCCAAAGCAATCAGATCCTTGGACCTCAATGTAACCAACACAAACCCAGAAACCTTAACTAAGTCCCTGAATTGCAACAGTGTTTGGCCCAAGTCACAAACACAATTATGATAGCAAACAGGACTTGAGAAGAATGAAGTGTGGGAGCTCAGGGCTTGCTCCTTAGCAAAGAATCCCACTCTAGGATTACTAGACACGCTGACTGGCTGTGAACACTGTGACATGGCCAATAGTAAACAGATACCAAGCAAAATAGGGCAATCCTTACTGCAATTTGCAACAAAATGGTCTGGCATTGACAGTAGTCAATCCAAACAAACTGAAGCCATTAGGTCCCATTCTCTAACAAGAACATGAATAAAGTCTACCCTACAGCATTATTATAAGACAAAGTTTAAAAGTTGTTATGACTGATACTAATTAGTGCCATCATGGAGGAATTCCTCCATGCGACCACCAGCAGTTAACTTGGCCAAAAATATACCTACTTTAACCTTAAATTCCTTTTCAACCATTTCCAGAGTTATGCATAACATTTGTGGTAAGAAAATAGATGTAAACATGCCATTAATGCAAAAGCCTAAAGCAACAGGACATCTGACAACTTGAGAAACTATTACCCCACTGCTCTCAGCTATTGCCCTCCCTCAATGCACACTATTTACCCTGGATCATAACCAGACAGGACCAAGTTGCCTTTTTGTAGTGAACCCATCCTAATGTTGACCCAATACCAATCACTAGGGAACCATTGCAGCCAGTTGATGATTGACATCCTAGCCAGCAGGCAAGACCCTGGGGAGACATACCAACCAGCTTTTATCACCCAGACTCCATCTAATTGGTTATTCAAGACCTCACTGGAAAAGATGGGTCCAGATAACCCTGCCAAAATCCCCAAGTTCAAGACACCAACAATTTTCTATTTCAGGGTGCTGAGAATGCAGATACATTTGAGAGGCAGCAGATCCATCTGTCGATACAAATGCCACAAAAATCAGCCAACAATCTCTGTTATCTCATGACACCAGGCAAAAAAAGGGACTTCAATTCCATCCTTTCATTTCATGCCTGGTAGCTGATGACTATGAAGGAACACAATTATTCCAGATTTTCAGGAAAAATGTGCACAGTTAATGTGCACATTTAAATGTATGTGAAACACGTGGGTTTGCCCATCCTTTGAATTTGATGACCCTGAAAGACATCAGTAATGCTTATCATCCACATTTGCTGCTAACAATTTCATCCAGTGCATGAATCATATATAACAGATGCCAGGACTCGATATAGGATGTCGATTTCCCAGGTGGAAATGTCATCAATGAGCTGACATTGACAGCAACAGGGCCCTTCAGATCTCAACTCAATTGCTATCTCAGACACAGGTCTATACAGCTGAGCTGTAGCCGGTAAGCTAGTTAATCCGCACGATTTTTGTGTTTAAAAAGATTGGAGAGTTTGCCCTGCAACTGGTTGTAACCTTTTACATTGTAGGTCAGGCTGGTAATGCCAATTAGATACAGGAACATTCTGCTAATCATAAGGAAACTAGTGGTATATGGCTGTACATTATGAAATAAGACATTTTAATTCATGCATATGATACATGTAATTCTTACAAGATCAGACAGAAATGGGCATGCAACAAATAAATAAAATCCTTTACAAGAGGGAAATTGTGTCTTTGCATTAACACAGTTCTCATAGTTCTCTCCTTAGAGGTGTGCATTTCGAGTAATTTTTGGAACCAGGTACCTGTTTTTTGGTCAACATCAGGTACCCAAAAAGAGATCACTTTATGACAAATGGCACTTTGTGCGACCCTGGTGGACCATGTGTCTGAAACAAGGCTCTTTTTCGTACATAGGAAGCAAGCAGCACATTGTTCTAAATGTTGGGGTTAATCTCTCCTACCTTTTAATCAAACAAAATTCTTCCCTTCAGTTAGCAAATTATGTTTTTGTGGGTATATGAAACACAAAACAAATTTTTCACGAGGAACATCAGAACAGACAAGAGCTGCAAACCACCAATGCACCAGCAACCACTCACAGGAAATGTCCCTGATACTGCATGACCGCATACACGCGGAATGCACGTGCACATATAGTGAACGCTGGTCGTGTCACGTGCGGACCAGATCAGTGCTGCATATGTCACAGGTTACAGGGCTTTTATGTACAAAAATACCTCAGTAACTCACACCATTATATCCAATTATTTTGAAGTTTCTGATTAAAAAACCCCACCAAAATGCTTCAAAGGGCGTTGAAAGTATCGGAAGTACATGTAGGATACGAGTCATCACTGCCAAGTGATCCAGAAGTGCATTTGTTTTCTCTCTGGGACCAGTTAAGCTGATTGTTAACGCTGGTCCAATTGTAGTCCTCTTCAGGCAGTCCAATCACTGACAATGCAGTGGACATGTGACCAAAAAGGAATGGTCATGTGACCACACATAGGGAAACCCAAGTGAAAAAAATAGGACTAAATGTAGCACTTCACGTGGTAAACAAGACTAAGCGATATATGAAAGCTTCGCCACACGATGGTACCACGATAAAGTGGTTTATTTTAATAAATATATTTTTAGGATAACTCCTTTCCCTAGGTACAAGTTGTCGAGATTTTAATGTATAGGCCTACTTCGACAAGTGACATTTGCCTGATCGACTGTATTGTGACCTGCCAACATTTCCCTTTTTTGAATGAAAGACACACTTAGATTTGAAATGCTTTTGTGCATACAGAAAACATCCTTCCTGCTTTTTTGTTCAATTCCTCATCCACAGTTCCGCTGAATCACTGAAGAAATTCATAATGCTTTAATTTAAAAGTAAGTTTGAATGATGACTACGACATTTTCTTGGTATAAAAAACTAAACTGGTTCACTGACTCTGGGTTTATGGAGCACATTCAGTGCTTTGGTTACCAGCTATAAGAGGCCGATCAACTGCACAATTTGTGCGTGATCACTACTTACTCTACGTGTGGAGTCTCAGTACTGCTGGTATATTACACAGTCTGCTCTCGCTTCATCGTCAATCCCAACATAATGTAATTTTCATTCATATTGTTTTATTTGACAAAATACTCTTAACTCAAATGGTAAGCACTACCACATGGTAAGCACTGCACAAAAGTCATTTAGGCTGACAGGGTTTGAAATTTACAAATACAGTCACGCAAGCGTACATCAACAGGGTACCCGGCACAAGCCTATTCTCTCCGGCTATTTTAAAAATTTCTCAAATTATATCCAGTGAAATCAATTTAGGTGAAGCTGCAAGGTTCCATTTTTATCATTTGTCAAAAATATCAGTTTCATCACTCCAATGCCAAACAGAGTTTTTCAGAAAAAGCAATTTGTCTCTTGCCAAGCGATATAATAACTTTTTTAATTTTATAAACCTCAAAAGCATATTTTTAACATAAGGCACAAAAGTGGCAGAAAAGGATAGATTTCTCGGATGTCTTCACCTGTTATTCATATTTGCACAGGTTAGTTTCTTTTGAATTTAAACTGTTCTTAAAAAGTTTAGCAATAAGCTACAAGATCAATCTGATTACCCTTATTTTCTTCAACTGTTAAATTTATTGTCTGTAAAAGATTGAAGGAAAAAGTACTGTTTATTAATTCACAGCACTTGTAACATTTTTAATTTCAGATTGGAAGCAGGTGATCCTTTGAAAAAAGAAATGTACTAATGTTGAAAAGGATCTAGCAGCCCCTGTTCAACTTGGTCTGACAACTCCTGCATCACAGCATTAGTCTAACACATGAATGCAGATCTACCATAAACAGGACAAGTTTTGTTAATAGAAATGACCATAGAAACTACTCACATGCAACCTCCAGGGTAGCATTATTGCTGCGAGCTGTTCCAGCTCGGTTGATTGCTACACACTGATATGTCCCCACATCCAGTCTGCTGACAGTAAGAAACAGCATGGCCCCAGTATCTAGCAAGGTGATATGACCGCTGCCTGTTGACATGTCCATGGCATAGCCATCTTTGAGCCACTGTCAGACAAAAAACAAACAATGACAATCAGCCAATTAGGATGGGTAAGCAAGTAAGCATCGTAGGCCCACATTATCTGAATGCAATAGGAGTAATTCACAATACAGCACTCTGCAATACTGATCACCAACAAGGTCTATTTTCCATTTCTGCGACAGTATTGATAGCTTTGAGAACAGCAAACATCCAGCAATATCAGTGTAGATCCATAGACACAATGTTTCAAACAATGAAATGTTTGAATGATGGCTGCATCCCATTTTGAAATATGACAGTTTGCACTTAAACTCTGCATGTTGCACACATGAAACCTAACAAACCCTTGACATAATCAAAACCACAGGATCACCATTCAGCCAAACAGTGATCCATTTCTTGAAGAAAATAAACAAATTAATTGTCACCTTGTTCTACTACTTCTGGACAAGAGTCAAAATACTGGAATCACCAATGGTAATGTTCTGATACATCATACAAAAAGCGGTGCAGTAAATACACCGCTTGGCTGCCCCACACAACACACCTTTCATTTGTGATCTGCAGACTGACCAGAAAGCCACTTGATTAGGAATTTTATGATAAAAAATACAAAAAAATTTAAGTACAAGGTTTTCAACTTACATTGATTTAGAAAATGACAAACATTTGCTCAATCAACAAATGTAAAACTGTTCCCAACAGGTCAAGGCTCATCTCACAACTGGAAGTCAAAACTTCCCCAGAAAAACAACTGTTGTTGGTTAAAGAACTCAATCTGTGCATATGTATGATTTAGGTTCTTGTAGTAAGCTTCTAAACTTCCTGAATCAAACAACTATAAATAAGATTGCAGGTTGAAAATATGCAATAAATGCCTCTTCAGCAAACAAGGTATTTACAATTTGCCAAAACATCAAAAATGCAGAAGTACCTCAGGTTGAGATCAAGAGCAGAAAGTATCACCATGGAGTCATTGAAATTTGAAAATGTGTCACTTGACACATCTTTAGAAATGACCTTCTGTTTCAATTTTCTTAAAAATAATGGCATACCAGACGGAATATCATCAAAAGAGTTTTGTTAGAATTTAATAGTCACATTGGTCTGTTATATTTCCCACAATTGCAAACGTTGCTCTGACTCCTGTGTAACTTCAACATCATATATTGGAGATGTATTTTATGCTAGAGTAAATGACGGGTTGGTTGTTGCACTGGTAGGTCATGCACACTTTCAAGAATTAGATGAGCACGTTCCATGGGCACATATAGCTTGATATGTACCATATTGTAGCCACAGTGTGATCGATACAGATATTGTCATTTGCCAATATTGGCAAGTCACTCTCTGCAGTTGACATAACAACATATCCAGATTGACTCATTCATTTGGGTTCAAATCACATCTGTGGCAACATTCAAGGTGTGACCATGCTAGCCATGGTGACGCCGTCATTCTACACTGTTAAGTCACTGAATCTTTTTGCCCTTATGTTTGCCTTGTCACTGATAATGATATGTTTCTGATGTCATCAACTTCAACAGTAATAAATATACAACTATAATTTACCCTCTGAAAACTTTTTTCCTGGTTAATTTACTATCTTTGATAAGTAATGGATTGTGCACCGTAACAAAAGATGTCATTGTTTAATCTGATGACAACGATACTGTACTGTTGTTATGCCAACTGTTAAGATGCTTTTCTGGCCCTGTGCATTTTGCATCGCACAATGCGATATATTTTAGACAGTGCATAGCATTTGATCAATATTGTGTCGCACCCTGCCACGCAATACAGAGGATACTGAACACTGACCCTGATTCAAGCATAGTCTCCATTGTGGGGTACATTCGGGTGCAACTATACATGGATGTGTAGTTCAACTAAAGCGGTCAACTGCTTTTTAGCAGTGCACATGCACAACACAGGTGCACTCAAGTTACACTGTGGAACTATTTGTGTAAACTTAATATCACTCAGATTTTGTAACTGGCTTCCACTTTCACAGCAGTCATGGTCAATGACATCTCACACAATTCTGTCATTTGCATCTCCATACGGATCAATTCAATCGGCTACTCATTACCAGCAGTGAAACCATACCCAGGCCCTGATTACAAATGGTTGATGACATAGATGGTCAAACAACTTATCATTTTGGTGACATTGGTCAAAGTACAGTTACCTATACTAGTCATCAATTGGAACTGCTTATGGAGGCAAACACAGGACAAGATGGCATTCAACAGCCTTGCATTATCTACTGAGTTATTTTGACTACTGACAATGTCTCCTGCATGCGTGGCATTCATGCTGTTCCATCCAGGCTCCAGCAATTCCTTGTTCTGTCTATGTCCAGCAATACATACCACTCACAAACCATAGAGCTACTATGTACCATGATGCACAGACATTGCCATCATTTGGTGAACATCACAATGAAATTATTAAGGAAGATGGTAATGTTTGCATATCAGCTGGTTGTAATGTAAGAACTCAACCAACCTCTTTCTTTAACCAATTATGGGAATTGTTGAAATCAAATGTCATATCAATCACTGTGCCTAAGTTTAAACTACTCACTTTCATGCTTTATTTTTGGTCCACACATCCCTGCTATCAAGTCCTATCATACAATCTGAACTACATGTAGTGACTAAAGCTGTGTTCACACTGGACTAAAAATTGTCAAACGTTACTGTGACTCTTGTTAATATTCTATCGGGATTTTTCTTCCATGCACGTGGATTACTCAGACCTGTGGGAAGTCCATGACCAAGCAGCAGCATGGGCTTTCAGAATCTCACAAGGGCACCCTCCCATTGAGCTTACATTGTGACACCGAATGTCGTCTCAACAAAGCGGCGATTCATTTTATACTTCATATATTTCAATCTAGGCAAAGTTATAACTAAATTGGAACATTTGTTGACCAAAACCTATCCAATGAATTACATGTACACTTGGTGTCTCGATCTTTCAATCCAGCAGTTCTCGTTACAGTGCCATTACTGGACTAAGAGCTGTGAGACATGAGGGGTTGATCCTCCTCCACTGAAAAAGATCTCATAATCATTTTCTGAGATATTCTATATTTTAATTGAATAATATTACAAATACCACAATCAATAAATGGCCAAAGTAGGCTAAGCGTTTAGCACACTTTCTGACATCCATGTTGTGTTTATGCACGGTCATGTACAGGCGCAGTACAGACATGTGCACAGGGAAAAACAGAGGTCACAACCCACTGACCAGTGAACAGATTTAATGTGATCAAAAAGTAAATGTTACATCACACTGGCCATCCACACAGGACTTTTCTGTGACGTAAAATTGACAATGTAATTTTTTGCCACTCCGGTGGCCCTGTAAAACTTCCACAACAGAAAGGTAAAACCTTACAACCAACGATCGACACTTGACAATTTGGACAGTTTACCTACTCTCAACATTGGATTTAATTTTGTCAATTCACAACAGTCTCCAAAAAGGTTTTACCAAAAAAGTCCAATGCGAACACAACTTCAGTGAGTACTATAGTTAAAGTCTTCTATATGTGCATGGTTAACATGAAATGACCAGTGTCCAGTGTGACCGGTTGACCTATTTCTCTTATGGTCAACTTATGTTTATATTCTCTTATATACACACTTTTCCATGAGACTTCGGTCTCCATTCGAATTTGATTCTTGTAATATAGCTCATCCAACATTGTAAGTGCGCCCTCAAGTGACAGCTTTCCATAAATACATTGAATGCGGCTCTATGCAAATTTAACCACATGTGCACTCGTAGATAGCTTTGCGAATGCCCTTCCGCATCTTGTCATATAAATTGTGTGTGTTGTTCGGCGTTTTGTTTTTAGCAACACCGACGCACTATTATGTATTGGCCAAATGTGCACTCATAGGGAGTCTTGACAACGCCCTTCTGCGTTTTGTCACCAAAATTTTGTGTATTGTTTAGCTTTTACCTTGGTGACGCTGATCCACTATTATGCATTGGCTGGACAGTAGTCTTCTTGGCTCAAGAATGCGCATTTTTCAGAGAGAACACCTCCAAACTCTGAGGAGAACACATGTCTCTTCTGACTTTTCCTGTTTTGCCTGCATTAGACACTATTGGTATTGCCACGTATTCACACTCGTGAATACTGTTGTAAAACATTTTTGATTTTCAGTCATCATGGGTCTTGTGGTGCTGGATTGTTGGCATCAGGAGGGGCACTGATTGTGGAAGGCTGCGTGGTATGTATGCATTTTGTTTGGTTGTTTTTTTCTTATCATGTCAGTTTTGTATAGTTTTTCCATGTAAAAATGATGGTGGTAGCTTGAGTTGGGTGCAATCACACATACATGTATATGTGTACATTCTATAGCGGGCACACATTTGAAGATTTTCTTTGGACTATTTGCATATTTTCTTACTAAGTGTATTGAGTGTAATCTTACACAAGGCAATTGCTGCTGTTTTGTTTCTTACCACCTGTTAATAATTTTGTTGTACATATTAAGGAACTATACTTTGTTTCGAGTTGTTTCTGATTATGCGAGTGCATTTTCACTGACAAGAGAGTTGTCAGAATGACAGTTGAGTAGGAGCATATCTTGGTGGATTTATTTGCCTGCTCTCAACAGTATAATTAATGAAATTATCACAAGTGACTTGTATACTTGTCTACTAAGCTGTGGTCAAAATTTATTCAAGAGATTACAGTAAAATATCTTGGCCAAAGATTTGAAGCACAGTATTTTTTTCTCTTGTAAGAATCACAGTTAATCCTCTGCGGCATGATGATAGAAACTGTTGAAGATATGTAGATTGATCTTTCTATTTTGGAGTCTTGATTGCCACTAAGTCTTGAAAATCTCTCAGTGCTGGTATGTGTTACCACGCAACATGTACATGTAATGATTTAAAATCAAGATGTGAGCTTGGAGCTATAGTCCATTATTTTGGGATACATGTAGTTGAACACAGAAAAGAACAGCACTGCTAAACAAGATCATAGTTATAACTGGGACATTTGTGCCACTGGAACATGTCTCCAGTCTTTGTTTTTCTTTGTTTACTGATAAAATTAGGTAACTGTTAGAACCGGGTAATTTGTATAACGCAACAGACCTTGTTATAACAGTGTTCCGCTGTATTCTTTGATAAAGATATTGAGAACATAGGCCGAGGCTGAGGAAGTGGCCTTTATAAAGAGGAAACTCATGTTACATTATGCATTTAGTGGTAATGATTGAGGTCTCAATTAAAATCTGTTACCAGTCTAATATGAAATTGTAGTTACGTGAATGGGTGTAAATCCACAGTGGTAATTATTGCATCATTTTTTTTATGCTTGCAGGATACAGCCACAATTGACTGTCATACCGCAATATTGATCTGTGCGAACCGGTATCATAACTTACACATAATTGCTACAGTGTACAGACACAAATTGTATAATTTGTTGGAATCTATTTTACAATAAAATAATTCTGTAACTCTGGTTGCTCACTGGGTCTTCCCTCTCTGTAGCGCTGTTTTCTAACTTATCTCCATCTAATCCCACTTGGTTACACAGACTGAAAGAATGGTTGTGTTTGCAGCTGTAGGGAAATCACAGATCTGTTCAGTCTGTAAGAATTTATCCCCACCCCGTTTTGGCAAAGACTTCCAAATTGGTAAAATTCCACCAGCATGCTTGGCAGGGATTGAGGACAGTACAGCCCAGACACTTTTTGTTGAATTTGAGGGCTCATGGGAGTTCTGACAAATAATGTATCATTAGATACTTTGGAGGTATTTCTGCTTAATTTTACAAATGAAACTGTATCAAGTTCTAATCTAGTGAACATTTTGAGTTTTGTAAAATAAGATCTGGTAAGGACCTATGCATACGAAATGTTCATGTTACAGTTCCACGTAGGCCCTATATGTAAATCACAGTGCTGTGACTGTGTGGTGAACACTGAGTGTGTTTAGAGATACCTTTTCCAATGTCCACCCCACTTGACGGGCCTAACCTTCCACTCCAGCTGTTTTTCTAACCCCACCACAACCTCCCCATGTATATTTTTGTATATTCCCCTTTACATCTATCTTCATAAATATTTTCTCAAGCTGCAGATGCCTGCCATGGGTTATGAGGCTTCCTTACTTTGTAAGGGTCTCATATGATCAAGGTTAAATCATTTATTCTAACCTCCCTGGCCAGAGTGCATTATTCAAATATATTACCTCATTAATCTTTGTGCAATACCTCAAAAAAACTCTCAATGCATTTAATTTACAGGGAGGCAAGGACTTAGGGAAGAACACGTTAGAACATCAATCAAACAAGTTTTGCACTTAGCAGAGTAATCTCTCCCCAACAAATTTCCTTCAAAGATTGCCTTGCCTTTTGATTTTCGTCATTTTCTAATGGGTCAACTGTGGAAACAAGGTAGAAAAGGCTTTTTTAAAAAATATTTTTCACAGGCTGTAACTTGTAAGCCCCTTGGAACTAAGAACTATAAATTTTTTACAACTGGCAAGTGCTCCAACAATGGTTCTTGTCAAATCAAATTACAATTTTCGACTGCATATTTTGCTCAGTTCATCTGGGAACATCAAATAAACAGCCATTTGATAAAACTTGAATAAAAGCAAACAGTGGGAATCCATCATCACATTATAATAAACATAGCTGTCAGAATTACATATCATTAATCATACAGTCCCCACAGACAAACATGCCATTGGATGCACAAGATGTCTGACCTACAGTTGAAAATGAAATCCTGTCTAACAAACTTGCAGCATCAACAATTAGCACTTCAATTATGCACCACCAGAGACTGCAATGGTTTCCTTGAAGGCTGACAGCCCCAGCAGAGGGGCTGCGTATGTCCTCCATGAGGTATGTTGTTTAGCTGAGTACAGGAAGTAAGATACCACACACCCACACCTGCTGTCCTGGTCAGAAAGCTCCTGCTGAAAATCCCAGATGTTTGCTGGTAGTTGCCCACACCTCACCAACTGAAAACCAAGCAGGTCTTCACACTTCCCAGGACACCTAGCCTGTCTGGCAGTATTAGTCTGACCTCATGCATGTAGGCACAGCAAGACTAGACCTTGGTTATGTCAACTGCTAGACAACAACCTCTACATTAATCCTGTACTATGCTTTTCACTGAACACCTGATCCATGTCAAAAAAACCACAAAAACAGGCAAGGCCCTCACAGCTATTACAAAAATGTAGGCCTACATGAACTGCTTTGTGAATGCAGTGATCATTTCATCTTCCTTGTAATTACTTTGTCAAGTTCACACACATGCACAACCACACAATGTAGTGCATGATTTGTGTGTTATATAAAAACAATGAAATTAAGTTGACCTGGCGTCGGTGGTCTTGAAGACAAATTCTGGATGTTTTTGACTGCACTCTTGGGTAAACTACTTGTGTAATGAGACCCTTCACACACTACTACTATCAACGACCTGACAATCTATGCTTCACATACAATCAGATCTGCAATGCAGCCCAATCTTTTGGTAAGGAAGAGATCCTATGCATAAGTACAGAGAGCAAAGGTAAAAATTCTGACCATTACACATGATATACACTTAGGTGGTTCTTGTGAACAGACCCCATGGCACCATCTAGTTCCTCTTTACTGAAATCCTGTATTGCAGGGGCGACTCAAAACTTGAATCTCCCACTCAGATTCATGTCTCAATTAACTGGTTGCACTTCCAGCCAAGAGTAATACATACCAATGGTATGACTGGCATCGCAGCGTTCCAGTCCATTCGTGTAGCTTCTATAGCCACAATGCTTTTTATTCGCCATGCAATTTAAGTTTTTATGTTTTTCTTTTAACCTACTTTCAATATTTGTTCCGCTCTTGTTAAAAGGCATTTCAGTGCCTTTGTAGTTTTTGTTCTAATGTGAGTATCCACATAGCTGTCAGAATTACATATCATTAATCATACAGTCCCAACAGACAAACATGTCATTGGATGCACAGGATGTATGACCTACAGTTGAAAATGAAATCCTGTCTAATAAACTTGCAGCATCAACAATTAGCACTTCAATTATGCACCACCAGAGACTGCAATGGTTTCCTTGAAGGCTGACAGCCCCAGCAGAGGGGCTGCGTATGCCCTCCATGAGGTATGTTGTTTAGCTGAGTTTTGGTAGGGTTTTATTTTACTTCAAATTTGTTCCGATTGGTCATTTGTCCCATTAATTTCGAAGGGGGATGTATTTCCATTTAGCATTTAGTAGTACATATTTTTATCTGGAGTTCTGATGGTTGCACGGGAGTTTTAACATTTTGTAAATCATTCTTTTACTCTTGCACTGACAGCCAACTAAAGTTTTAGCAGCCACTTGTAGAAGACACATAACTGTGATGTCAAAAGAGCAGGCCCTATTGAAGAAAAATATAAGCTGCACAAGTGCGTCTCAGAAAACTTCCTTGCCTGGGCCTTTTGAGCCTCGGCATATGTTTCTCCCAAACTAAAATGTCCCAGTCCAAAGTTCATGCTGTTTTAATAATTCAGAGTCTGGTCTGGTCTCACTGTGTGAGGCAAGTGGCAGATATAGAAGCTTAGTCACGTGAGAAAGGGCGTCTGCTCTGCAGGAAGACTTGTTCATAATAAGCTGTGTCTCCATGCTCAATGTCAGACTATGTGCATACCGACAGAGTCACACTGCCATTATTGCTGGCAGGTGCTCCCATTATTTTTGTGCATAATAGAAGCAATTTTTTCCTCCAAAGTCAGGCAGGCGCCAATGGGTAGAAACTGATTGTATGCTATACAACCTGGGCCCTGCATGACACGCTGATCGACTGACCCCATGAAATTCAGAGTTGACTTCTACTTCTTGAATACTGCTACTAGGGAACAAATGTATGCAACAGTTGTTTGGATTTTTATAGCTTCAAGCATCAGGAAACCACCAGTCTTTATTATATTTGATTCTTTTTATGAATGGGCTTTCATCTGAATCTTTACTTCTCGATTGAGCTGGTGTGCTGTACTTGCACTTAAGTTTTTAAACCCAGTTAAGTACCAGTACCCTAACCCTCAAAGTTTTTGTACCACAGAAGGCTCTATCTTTCCCAAATCGTGTCAATCATGTATAATCTACCTGTGCCTTATAATGTACTTTGAAAGATGTCAGAGGGTTGTGATCAGTGAATATTTCACCACTTGACTTTCTGTGTCCAGAAAAAAGTTGCACATCCAGAAACATCAATAGTTTCAACTCTTACTTATTAGTTCTTAATCTTCAGAGGGCAACATTGTAATGACTGGTCAGTAGATCACGTTTGCTGTTGAAAGCATTCAAGAAAATGAGTTTAAAATCATTTCAGTGCAGTAACTGTGACTAAAAGACTGTGTCCTCTTTTGTCACAGGTGTGACAACACAACACAAAGGGGTGCTTTGTTGCCCAGCAACTGCATGCCTCAAAGATGACAGACCTCACTTCATGCAACACATACAACTTAGTTACTCAGTTGAATGTGTGTGCAAGTCCCTATGCATGGCTTCTCACATGGTGACATGGGTCAGTGGCAATGGTGTGACTTTCTTGCACACAGCCAACTTGATAGCCCAAAGCATGCACTAATTACTTCCTCAAAGTCTTCCTAATGAAGACCACATCAATGAACACTCTCTAGAGCAGGGTCCCATCAACACCGATACTGCAATTTCTTTCAAGGGATTAAACAGCCTACTCACCGAGATGCTCGGTTCTGGTCTGCCCTCAGCTCTGCAGTCAAGCCTAGCAGGCTCATTCTTTGGCACAACCACATTCTGCGGATGTTCAGTGATGCTCGGTGGAACATCTTCTCTCCTTCTTGCTGCTACAACTGCAATCAAGCACATAAAAATCACATTAACTACAAATTTAAATTGTTGGTTTGTCTGCAGAAGGGATTTAAGATGAAACCAGTACAAGCAGAATTAACCTGTAGAGAAAAACCATAGAGAGTCTGGGGTTCAATCCACACACTTAGAGTGCCATGCAGGGCAAAATATCAAGGAACTGCCAAGCTGGGAATAGAGGTGGAAATAAACTGCAGAAGTCTGCCAGTTTCAAGTTAATCAGGTGACATCCCATATACACAGGGATGGCCAATTTATGACGTACCAACATGAAGGATTTATTGTGCTCTTTCTGTATTAAAATTTTAAAAGTGCACACAAATGTAGAAGTTAAAAATGCCCTCAAGACACACTTCTCACAATGCAGTCATAACTTCTTGTTAATTCCATGTCCACCTATACGTCAAGCACCCCAGTGAAGAAAGTCTGAAACAGTTTACCAGACCAATGGAAACATTTCTTTCGGTCACTTCTGTGATGCCAATTTGATATTCTTGATTTCTCAACTTGTAATTCAGTTGTACAACTCTTTCTATAAATACAGGCCAACACAAGCAGGAAACCATGCTTCAATATTTATTTGAATGAAATCCAAACCATCCATGCAAGAAAGGTGAAGCCCAAGTAAATACACCCAAAGGGATAATATTACATGGTGGTATGATTTAGCACTACCAGATGGAAGGATAAAGATAGGACTACTCTATAAGTCCCAGGTGACTCAACTACCTAAGCTGGCATTACAAAGTGAACTGACATTTAATAAGCATTAAACCCAAACAGTATAGGCAATTATGGAAGTATTTATCCACATTGGAAACCTTGCTTTAATGTGGTTTGGTTATAAAAATGGAAATGACTGGAGTCATGCTTTTTAGACATGCACAAGCACATATTATGATTCAAGCATGATTCAAGGAATAGGCCTATTCACATGGTATTTGCTCTCAGAGAGATGTCGACAAAGCTTTGCATTTATTAAAAATTTGGCTAGAATTGCTCATGTTCTTGACACTGCTGCTCAGTACTGTCTGTTTATTCACATGGACTTTCACTTTCCTTACACAAAGCACACAGCTAACACAAAGTCGCTCTCATTTTCAACTTCAGTCTCAGTCGTGGTGACTGAATCTGATACATTGTATGAGTGCATCCTCCCCAGAACTGCATCAGCGGGTTATTGCCAACATGCTGGGCTGGCACCATTGGCATTATCCCAACAAATGAAATGACAGCACTTTAATCTGGACCTTGAGTTTGCATAAACAAGACTGTAATTAACTTCCTATACATTTGGAATCAATGATCTCTAATAAGCACTTCTGCACAACAGTTACACTCACAGGCACAAAGAGTCTTTTAACTTTAAAACTGTTTATAATCAGAGATGCATCCTGACAGGTGCAGGGTACATAGACAAGCCAAGGCAGATACCAGTAATTGCACTCACTAATTAATATGACATCCCCTCCCTCAAATTATCCATAGCACACATATCTTAATTGAAGCATTCCTGTCTAATATGTCTAGAATGCCAGCTGCTACAAACCACACCACAGAGTCAGACCATGCATGAGTCTACATTGCCTTCCTGTAGAGCTGCTGCATACAAACACATCAATAGTTTCATTTCAACTGAGTTTCAAAATTAAACAGATTTATACAAGCCCACTTTTAAATTCATTAAAATGTCGCTGATGTAATTACAATGAAATGTTACTGATCTTCCAAAGTACCTTTTAAGTAGTGGGCCTTCACTTTGGGTCTCATCTGAGCAAGCTTGTAGACCTCTTCTCAGTTTCAACTCAGTGCTTCTAAATGTAAGTTGAACTTGAAGGCCAATCCCCAACAAAAACAGATTTAAAGTCAATATTATACTCCAGATGTTACAATGATTTCAAAGAATTTTACTTAAGTACTCCCACAGATAATACTAGGATCATTTGAAATCTGCTGGAGCTGTGCTCTCCACAAATCAACACTGATAGATTTGCACCACAAATATCATGTAACATGATAGTAGAAAATGAGGTTTTCATCCTTCACTATCAATCTTATAAATGGGAACTATTCCAGAAAATCACTCAACAAGATACTCTTCAGAGTAGAACTATGTGTATCACTGTCAGTTCTGAAAAACACAAGTGTTGATAGTAACAAATCACATTTTTTCAAATGACAGTCCATTCCTAGCCAGAATTTAGTTTATTGTTCAACAGCTGTTGAGCATAAAATTGGCTTTGAAGAATGTGAACTTCTTGTTGAGTGGAGGGAAGAATGTGTACACACCTTCAATGGAGTCAGGGCTGTTTATTTACCATTGCTCTTTGTGATAACTCGGTGATAATCGGTTGTGCCCATAATGACAAGGCTAACACCGATCCATTTATCACTCATTCTGCTAATGTTTCCTGAGCAATCAATCACCTCTAGCATGGTTTGCTATTGTCTTCACCAGCAAATAAATGCACAGCAATTTTTCATGCAGTTAAATGAGTGGGCAGGATAATAGTTTTTATTTTCACAGGACTTCGTGGAGCCTCAACAATACCAAACACCTCGCCCACGTATTTCCGGTTACTTAAGCCAACAGAGGCAGTCTAGCAGCCCACCAAGTTCTTATTGTCTCCATGGTCTCTTACCGAAGTAAAGAATAAAAATCTTTAAATGTAAAGAGAAACATCTTGCCATCAGATTAACATTCTCGATGCTCCATTTACATCTTAGAAGATGTCATTAATATGCAACATTATCTCAATGAAAACATTGTCTACAAAAAGTCCTTCTTGCTTCAAATTGTTTAAAAAAGACTTTTTAATAAGGCCCCAAATCCCTTTGGCTTCACACCCCCTTCCCATTTCACCAAGCCTTGCCTTCATTAGTTCCCTTTAAATTTGAATTTTAGAGCGCGAAGAACACCTGATTATGCTCTCATTTGGCTGAAAGTGCATGATGGATATCTGTAAATATTCAATGTATTAATGTATACAATACACATAGCAACCAAAGTGCCGGATGATCTGCAACCACAGTTCTGCCTCTATGGGTGCAAGCCTGCAAGTTTGATCTGGGAATGGTTTTGGTCTTAATACAATTCAAAGCAGTCAAGAGTTTTATTTCCTTTACTTAAACATCCTGGGTATCTTCTGTGAGTCTGCATGCATTCTTCAGAAGGTTACAAAGCATCAAACTAGTCTTTATGTATGAGCGTATAGTTACAAAACAAAACAGACTTGCACAAATGCAACATGACTTAAGTAATTCAAGAAATTTTCAATTAAATGTGAGAAACATTTATTCACCACACAGTTTTGCAGGCAAAATTCTTTTATCCTGTCTTCCTCTGTGACCCAACAACTTTTAATGAATACAGCCTTTCCTTATTTACTGAGCATTAACAAGCCACCAGACTTCAAAGTGGTGTCTGGAATATATTAATGTGGGGATTAGCTAGCAGACCAACGTGGAGCCTCCTCAACACATTCCTTACAATTAAATGGAAACATGAACTGGCAAGTAAACTAATACAAAGCCAAACAACACCAACTTATTTGCAATTCACACCACTATATTAAAAAACACGAATAATGCCAGTTGTTGTTCATTCAGCAGAGGAAGTCCTTGCATGGTTGGCAGACGGACAAGATTACAAGAAATGGCCTTTGAAATAACTTCACAACTGCAACATCCATAAACCTGACCCTGAGGAATCAAATGGTCATTTCACTGGGCATTTTGCTGTCTCTAATAAACAGTCTCAACTTTTAATGTCTTCCTGTTTTGCAAGGAGCAGGCAGTATGGCCCTGGTTGGGGCAAGACCAGGCTAGACCACACCTGCACTGGCCTTCAGAGAGAAGCAATATCTATTTCAACACTGGACAAATTGAGCATGCAATGGAGGCCCTGATACATGGACACATTTATGGAATGCCCCTGGCTGTTGGAGTGGATCCTCAGATTTCCTGATCTTTTGTACTGACCACTGAAAACATATGTCTACACCTGTACACCTTCATTGCTCATGGCAATAAAATATGAAATTGTTGAAACAATAAAACAGCAGTTTTGTTTCTTCCCCTAGGAAGAAAGATATTAATCCTGGACTCCACGGAAGAGAGTTTATATTCCATTGATAAGATAGAAGTCAAAATCATTTGGATTTTTGAGGATTTAACCTGATTCTGCAGTGACTAAAATCTGACTTTTCCAAGAGGACAAATTTTGATAGACATAACTAGCCATAGCATATTATCCAACATACAACAAGAAAAAATAATTTATTAGAGTTCTCCAACCCAAACACTGATACACTGGTATTTCCATACATGAGAAATCAGCTTCCATGCACGTGTTCATGACTGCATGAAGTTGTTAGCTGTGCACTTCCTGTACGCAACAAGCTACATGTATTTTCTCAGACTAACTAATTTCTGGAATTGACTGGCTCTCAAAATATGTCTGACCTTTCTGAAATGCTGGCATACTTAGAAACAACTACACCTTTTAATCCCATAAATTCACCCTAAAATGTGCTCTTACATAAAAACACAATCATAATGGTATTAAGCATGTAATATGCTCTGCTCTTAATGAGATTGGATTAGTTACTCTGTAATCCTATTTATCTTGATGAAGCTCACTTCACTCCTTTATTGTGTCAGTGGCTCAAGCTAAGAAGGGCTTATCTAGTGTGCAGAGGCCCAACACACCCTCATTACTGTTATATACAACCCACACAAATACAGCTTCTAATCCTATTGCAAAATGTTTACAAGAACTCTTATACAAATCTATTAAAAAAGATGGGAAGATTTTCTGAGCAAGTGGATAATCCAGGAGGGAATGTTTGCACAGACCAGTTCATCACACTGCTGTTGGATGGATTGCAATCTCTTGATCCACCTTGCTAAAACTACATTAAGGAGGACTTTCATCAGTATATTGCTTAGAATCTTTCTAAAGCAAATTATACTGAAAACCCTG